TTTTTTTTTTATTTTATTATGTAATTTAATCGGAATGGTTCCATATAGTTTTACTGTAACTAGTCATTTAATTATTACTTTTACTTTAGCATTAACTATTTATGTAGGTTTTAATATAATTGGTATCAAAAAACATAAATTAAATTTCTTAAATTTATTATTACCAAGCGGTGCAAGTATCGCATTAGTTCCTATTTTAGTACCTATTGAATTAGTTTCATATATTTTCCGTGTTATTAGTTTACCTGTACGATTATTTGCAAATATGATGGCTGGACATACTTTATTAAAAGTAATTGCAGGATTTGCTTGGACTATGTTAAATGTAAATAGTTTTATTTTTATGGCACATTTTATTCCTTTAATAATTATTGTTTTATTAGTTGGTTTAGAAATTGCAGTAGCTTTAATTCAAGCTTATGTTTTTACTATTTTAACATGTATGTATATTAATGATGCATTAAATTTACACTAATAAATATTAAAATATAATATTATATGGAAAAGTAGCTCAGTTGGTTAGAGTGGTAGCTTGTCACGCTATATGTCGCGGGTTCAAGTCCCGTTTTTTCCGTTTAATTATATTATATTTTAAAAAATTTCTATAAATATGTTATTAAATTATTCAAATATTTTTATATTTTTAATATTAAGTTTATTTTTATCCATTTTAATTTTCATTTTATCTTTTGGATTAATTAAACAAAAAGATGATTTAGAAAAGTTAACAGCTTATGAATGTGGATTTAATCCTTATGATGATGCTCGAAAAGTTTTTGATGTAAAATTTTATTTAGTAGCTATTCTTTTTATTATTTTTGATTTAGAAGCTGTCTTTGTTTTTCCTTGGGTTTTAACTTTAAGTTCAAATTTTTCATGGGGATTTTGGACTATGATTGAATTTTTAGTTGAATTAGTTATAGGTTTTATTTATATTTGGTGTAGTGATGCTTTAGAATGGTAAAATTTTAAAAATATAAATAGAAGTTATTGTTATTTTTTAATAAATTCAAATTATTGAATTTATTAAATCTCCTTAATATAAAAAATATTTGATTTTTTAATATCTTTTAATTTTAATATAAGTAATATATTAAATTACTTATATTAAAATTAAATTCGTTATTATTTAGTATTATAACGTACTAAATATGCTTCAAATTTACCTAAAAACGGTATAATTATTATAAAAAAAAAGAAATAATAAATCATACTTATAATACCGATTTCAGTATAAGGATATTCAACAGGACATTGTCCAATCCAACCTAATATTAAAAATGCTATAACTAATAACCAATAACAAACTTTAAAAATAGGTCTAAAAGCTGTACTTCGAATTTCAGATGAATTTGTAAAAGGTATAGTTAATAAAATAACTAATGAACCAAACATAGCAACAACTCCACCTATTTTATTTGGAATAGATCGTAAAATTGCATAAAAAGGTAAAAAATACCATTCAGGAACAATATGTAAAGGTGTCTTCATAGGGTTAGCTTCGATATAATTATCTGGATGACCTAAAGTATTAGGATAATAAAAAATAAAAATAAAAAAAACTAAAAATAATACCATTAAACCAAATAAATCTTTTGTATAAAAATAAGGATAAAAAGGGATATTTTCAGTTTTTAATGTAATACCTAATGGATTATTAGAACCAACTTCATGTAATAAAATTAAATGAATTAACACAGCACCTACTATTACAAAAGGAAGAGTAAAATGTAAACTAAAAAAACGATTTAATGTAGGATTATCAACAGCAAATCCACCCCATAACCAATCAACAATATCTTTTCCTATTAAAGGAATTGCAGAAAATAAATTAGTAATAACAGTTGCACCCCAAAAACTCATTTGTCCCCAAGGTAAAACATAACCCATAAAAGCAGTAGCCATCATTAAAATAAAAATAATTACACCTGAACACCATATAGCCTCTCTAGGAGTTATATAAGAACCATAATATAAACCTCTAAAAATATGTACATATACTACAATAAAAAAAAA